CCCCCCCCACGCTAATCATTTGGAGCAAATGCAGAACAATCCAAAGCACATAAAATCATGAATTAATCTAATAGTAATTAACAATTGCAATAAAACAAAAATAATGAAATTCCTTCAATTTTGCCTATGGGATTACACCAATTATTCGTTCCTTTACCTTTTACATGTTTTCATCAATTTCTTCCTCCACCATTTCACAAAAAGAAGAAGAAGGAAATACACACTTATATGTGTTGTTTCCAATAGAATAAACACAATAAATTCAAACTTGCAATTCAGCCTCATGTTTCAATGTACGCTCCTGTAATTAAACAAACCAATAATAGCCATCAAACAAAAGTAATGACAAAACAGGTGATATATGAACAATTTCCAATAATTCTTATTCCCAAGCAAATCTGCAAATTTATATTATTTAATCAAGAAGCAGTACCTGGACAGTAAAATAATATGGTAAGAAAATATATCTCTGGCTTTGAAAAATTGATAATAACTATTTCAGCAACAAATTTGGTAAAGCACAGCAGACTCAGCACCAAATTAAAGCGTCTTTGAGCTAAAATACTCCTTAAAACCCCAGGAAATACAGAGTATAGCAGTAAATCAAAATAGCCTCGAAATTCTTCTTCGCTACAATTTGAATTTCTAGATCTAAAAGAACAGCTTAGTCACTCCGCTGCTATTTTTTTCGAACTCTTAAGCTCTCATATCTTCGTTTTAATTCTCAAAAATCTAGATTTGTTGTTGAAGTTCTTTTGAATTTTGAAGGTTGCTTCGATTTTTTCGTGTGTCGAAGAATGGGAGAGGTCAGAAGAGAATAATGTGTTAGAGGAGGGTGGGCAGCTAGGTTTTTGGGTGTAGAAGAAGGAGGGGTCGGTGGCTGGGTTTCATCCAAAAAAAATAGGAGGGGTGGCGTCGTCCTTCTCTGCTGAAGAAGGAGGAGTTAGGGGCGCTAGGGTTTTCTTTTTGGGGTGGGGGTCCGATATTTTGTGTCTGTGTGAGAATGAGAGATGAGGGTATTTTAATGAAGAGGAGGATTTGGGCCAAGCGGGCTGGGTTATGGGCATTGGGTTTAGGCAAATTCTTGTGGAGTTTTGGACCGATAGAATTGGCCCAATTTGACCTTTTTCGGCCTTTTGATCAATTTTCTTCAAATTGTAGCCTCTTAACCATTAATTCAAATTGATCCTATTTTTTTGTAAAAGTAACCTATGCCATTTTTATATAATAATTTAAACTAACAATGACAAATATATTTTGATATTTTATATTTTATAAATGCAACTAACATGCAATTAAAATCTAAAATTTATTGCATGAAAGAATAAAATATTTTTGGCATTTTCATGATTTAAAGTGCTTATGCATAAAAATGAAATGCAAGACATTAACTAAACTAGAGAAAAGTTCCTAAAATTCTACAAAATTGATAAAAACTATTTTGAAATATTTATTATTTTTTTAGGATTAATTTGGCATTAGGGAAAAAATTAGGTGCTCACAATATATATTCAAAGAAAAATATATGTTGGATTTAAGTCAAGAAGAAGTTAGTGTAAAATTCAAATAAATAAGTTTAAAAGACATAATAAATACCACATCATCGTAGTTAATGTATCAATTAGTCATAACTGCTTCAAATGTTGGATTATTCTCTTCTCATCATCATCAATAGAAGAGTAAGATATGAAGCGCCTTCTTCGCAATGCTCTCAGCGCATATTAGTTAAATGTATGCCGCCTGTGTAGCCATGGTGAAAGGGAGAGGCAGAGGACGAGGTCGACCTCGAAAATACTCGCTAACTACTCTTGTAAGCTCAATGGTAATTGGAAATCAGCCATTGATGGAGCAAGCAGTACCAGAATCAACTCCACCTTCATCAACTCAAATTACAGATCCAGCTAAGAGAGGTGTTGCAGGTGAATCTGGTTCTACTTCGAGCCATCCTAACATCTCTAAGCGACTAGATCTAACATCTCCAATGTCAATTGGTCATGTAGCAGCTACTTCGACAGTGCCAGTCAATGGAACAGTAAATGTGATCAATCCAGCTCAAAGTCAAGTAAATTCCCTAGGCTCGTCGGAGAAATCAACAGAGGCAGAGGTGGTGATGGCAATTGAAATTGCACCTAAAGCTCCATGGACAACCTTGTTCCAGAAGAATCGATTTTCTACGAATGGTATGTCACTATCCTATATTCCACCATAAATTGTTGATGGTCAGCCTATGGTTCAACTAGACAAATCAGAGGTAGAAAAGGAAGAGAACAAATATAGGTATGCATTGATTGCATATATTTTAGGTGATGGACCAGGGTCTAATGCGATGAAGAGGTACACTAATTTACACTAGTCACATGTTGTTGAGCCTGATCTGTTTTAACACGATGAAGGCTATTACATAATTAGATTTTGCACTATTGAAGATGCTCGTGAAATACTGTGTGTTGGTCCTTATTCAATAGCCAATAAGCCTATTATTCTAAAACCATGGACCCTGACTTTGATTTCACTAAAGAGTTTCCTATTGTTATTCTATTGTGGGTTAAATTTCCTAAGTTGCCTATGTCTTGTTGGGGAGTTGGCTCACTAAGCAAAATTACTAGTATAATTGGAAAGCCTATATTTGTTGATGAGTGCACTACTAAGCATACTCGGGTATCTTTTGCTCGAATGCTTATTGAGGTTAATGTTACAACAGAGCTGCCAATTGAAATTGTGGTTATGGACCCAATTGGAAAGAAGTTTTCGCAAGCTGTTACATATGACTGGAAACTTGCCTATTGTGACAAATGCTTGGTTGTGGGACACAAGTGTTCAAATAAAACTAGACTTATGATAAAAGCCAATCCAGCCTTAGAAAGTAAGGAGTAACAAGGTGATCATACACGAATGAAGAACTAAAGGTCTTATACCTAATGCATCTGAGCCACTTAATATAACCTCGTATGAGACTCAACAACAAGGTGTCAACAATTTGGAAGCTGAAGATCACAGAAGAGTAACAAAGATACCTGAACCTAAGGAGATTAATACTCAGCAAAACTTGGTACATATAGCCGAGAAACAGGATGATAAAGGCAAAGCAGTGTAAAGCCCTAAACTTAATCTCATCAACATTCCTCTTTTGTCTCTCATCCCAGTGAGAAATAGGTTTGAGGCAGTTTCTATAAGTAGACATGAAGTACACAATCCACCTGGTGATAGAGGTGGAAGTAGTAATCAACAATGATGAATTGGTTGTTCTGGAATATAAGAGGTGTAAATAAAAGGTATAAATTGAAGGAGGATAGGGAGTATATTAGGAGCAATAAAATAAAGTTAGTAGGTCTTGTAGAGACTAAAGTGAAGGAGGTGAATTCTCAAAGGATTTCAAAAGCGATTGTTCCTGGATAGAGTATACCGACAAATTATAAAGATGCTAGGAATGGAAGGATTTGGTTACTATGGGATACTAGTCATCTCATTATTACTAGTATTAAAGATGATTGTCAGGTGAAAAGTAGAAGGGGAGATATAGATTGCTTACTCACTATAGTGTATGGTTACAATGGGATAGAACAAAGAAGAGCTCTATAGGATAACCTACAACTACTATCAGTAAGTATAACAGTTCCATCGCTAATAGCAGGAGATTTCAATGCAGTACTATATTCAAATGACAGACTATATTGTAGCCTAGTAAGCTACTCAGAAATTCAAAAATTTGTTGCTTACCTTCAACATACAGCATTAACGGGACTACCTCGGAGGGGTGACTATTATACATGGACTAATAAACAACCTGGTGTAGATAGGGTCAGCAGTAGACTGGACAGAGTCTTTGGTAATTATGAATGGATGATGTCCTAGGGCCATGTGGAAACAAACTATGGTTTGCCTCAAATATCAGACCATGCTCCTATGCTTTTAACACTGTCATCTTCAACATGGACTAGTAGAGTACCTTTTAGATTTTTCAACATATGGCCAGCACATAAAGATTTCTCTCAAATAGTGGCAAGCATATGGAATCCTCACAATACTCATGGAACTTTGAAATCAGTATGGACAAAATTGAAAGACCTGAAACTTGCTCTGAAAGTTTTAAACTCTAGGGAATTCAGGGGCATCACTCAGAGAATTGAGAATGCTAGAATAGAACTGAGGAGCATTCAAGAACAGATTTCAATGACTTATACTGATGCTTTATTAGATATGGAGAAGGAAACACTACTCAATCTTGAGAAGTGGTCCTTAATTGAAGAGAGTTTTCTACAACAAAAAGCTAGAGTAAGATGGATATAGCTTGGAGATTCCAACTCTAAATACTTCACAGCAGTAATGAAGGATAGAACCCAAAGGAACCAGATTACAGAAATCATAATATTACTAGGAGACAAGTTGACTGGCCCTGAAGCCATCAAAAGAGAGATCATGGATTTCTACAAAAGTTTAATGGGATCAGCTGTCAATTCTTTACCAGCCATAAACAGATCATACATGAAGAATGGTCAAACACTGTCTCATTACGAATGGTGGATTTGTGTGCAAAGGTAACTGACCAAGAGATTGTTGAGAGTCTTAAAGCAATTGGTGATGATAAAGCTCTAGGTATTTATGGTTTTAACGCAGTTTTCTTCAAAAACTCATGGGGCATTATCAATATTCATATTATAGAGGCTATAAAGGAGTTCTTCTCAACTGGAAAGATTTAAAAGGCAATAAATTGTACCATTGTCACATTAGTTCCTAAAGTGACTAAGCCTGCCACAATCAAAGAGTATAGACCAATAGCTTGTTGTTCAATCCTATACAAGATGATCTCTAAGATCTTGGCTTCTAGATTGCAGAAAGTCATGCCATTTATAATTTGTGAAGCTCAAGCAGGTTTCATTCCTGGTAGAAAGATTGCTGACAATGTCATCCTAGCTCATGAACTAGTTAAATCTTTTACTAGAGCTCAAATATCCCGTAGGAGTATGATAAAGATTGACCTTCAAAAAGTATATGATTCAGTGGAGTAGATCTTTTTACAAACTGACAGATTTATAAAATGGATAATGGAATGCATCAGGACAGTAAACTATATTGTCCTTGTGAATAGAGAAACTACTAGACCTTTCAATGCTACTAAGCGTCTTCGACAAGGAGATCCTACCTCTCCTTTTCTATTTGCACTAGTGATTGAGTCCTTAAGTAGGTCCCTCTATGAGCTTAAGAAGGAGCCTACATTTCAGCACCACCCCAGGTGCAAGAAATTGGACATAACTCATATGAGTGTTGCTGATGATCTATTGTTGTTTGCCAGGGGTAAATCTATCCTTAGTGACTACGCTATACTAGTACTTCTCTCAGTTCTCTGAAGCATCATGTTTGCAGGCTAATTTGGTAAAAGTTCAGTGTATTTTTGTGGAGTGAAACAAGATGTGAAGAAGCAGATTTTTGATCACCTAAGATTTGAACAAGGTTCCTTGACTTTCAAGTACCTAGGCATTCCTCTATCTACAAAGAAAATATCTCTTATACAATGGTAACCTTTGATTGAAAAAATCACAGCCAAGATATCCTCATGGACTGCTAAAAACCTATCCTATGTTGGTCGTGTGCAGTTGGTGCAATCTGTTATATTTGGTATTCAAGTCTATTGGGCTCAACTATTCACCTTTCCTGCTAAGGTTTTGAAAATAATTGAGGCACTCTGTAGAAGCTATATTTGGTCAGGAACTAATACAATAACTAGGAAGGCATTAGTGGCATGGGATAAGATGTGTACTCCTAAGTTAGTTGGTGGTCTTAACCTTATAAATCTCCCTCTGTAGAACAAAGAAGCAATTGCTAAAACATGCTGGGATTTATCTCACAAGCAGGACAAGTTATGGATAATGTGGATTGATGCCTACTATATCAAACAGTAGCAGCTACAACATATTCCAATCCCACAACAAGCAAGTTGGATGGTGAGAAGAATAATTGGATCAAGAGTTACCATGTTTCAGGTTCAGAACTC